AATTGAAATTAAGGAAGAGGGAGCGAGGGACCTGCTATCCATCAGTAATTGGTAAATTCCGTACCCTTCGTAACCGCCACGGTAAGAATTCAACACCTTCCAACAGCTACTTTCCTCTTTGGAAGATTAGATGAATCTCTTTCATTAATGATGTTGGAAACTATATATAGAAGGAATAATACAGTAAATATATGTGCCCTAAAACAATTTCTTTTTTCTTTTGTATTTTTGGCTAGACTATTGGGGTTTTCATGAAAAACCAAAAAGCTGAAAACCAAATCAAAACCAGTAATTGATTGGTATATATATTTATATTTATGACATTAATTTATAATATATATTATAAGTAAAAAACCAAAAATCAAATTGGTCAATGGTTTGTTTGGTTAATCAAACTGTGAGCACTCCTACTACACTTTATATTCACAGTGGTATATAGGTGGATTAAGAGGTGGAGACAAAGCATGGTGCACCTGAGGTCCACTGACCTTATCAATTACCATAAAAAGCCTACAGTTACACGGATTTGATCCTATGCCTTCATGTGTGAAGAGATGCGGAGTGATCATCTCCATTATAGAGTCATTCGCTAACCAAGTCCGGAAATTTGCTTTGATTAATTACATGGTATTAAGAAATAGTGGCAGGGACATTTTCAAGGACCATTCCCAATTAATAAAATTAGGGCCAAGAGTCATTGAGTCAAATTAAACTTTTTTTCTTTTTTATTATTTTTTGTAAATTAATATTCTTCAACTGATCATAGTCATGAAAAATTTCCATTGTATAGGAGATGTTATATAATTAACATTAATTTTGTGGGTATGATAGATGGCATTCTCATCTAATCCTACATGCTCCAAAATTGTCAAATTTATAGTTTGACACATCCATCGTCAACCTTGGATGTGACTTTATATTTCTTCAGTATTTTAATGTATTTAACAGGTAAGAATGGATGCTTTATGCTTAGAAGAAAAAAAGGATAAAAAAAAGTAAGAATAGATGGAATTTATGACAAGCGGGAAATGATTGAATACCTTGCGAGATATATATCATCTACATACGTCGCCCTCACGCTCATAGTGGGTAAAGTAGATGGGGGTAAGCTCCAAAACCACAGATTCGGCACAGCAGGATATATTAGTTTTACGAACAGTGAGTAGCTACTTATATGGCTCCTAATTAGAGGTGAAAACGAGCCGAGCTGAACTCATTAGCTAATGCTTGAGCTCAGACTCATTTAGCAAGCTGGCTGGGTTTAGACATCTATTTTAATGCCTACAAAGTAAATATATTAATGGGTCATTTACTAAAACACCCATTATAGTTTTATGAATTTATTAAAATTTATCTTATAGTTTGCATTCTATTAAAACATCCTATTAGATGATAATAGTAAATGATAGTTTTGATCCTAGTGTTTATTTGATAAATTTAATCAAAAGAAAATAAAAATGAAAAATATTAATATAAGCAATCGCTCTATTTGATTCTATTTGATCACTTTTATTTTTTATATGAATATAAGTGCCAGGGGTACTTTTGGGATATACAATTATGACCCCATGCCCTTGCGCATTTCAGATGGCAAAACAAGCAGTTTTTAGGGGGCGTTCTTTTTTCAGATTTTGAGAGGGGGGAAAAGTTAGTCAATGGGATTTTGGTTCTCATTGACCAAGAACCCCATGCTCTTTTTTCAAATTTATGTGGAGACCAGAGAAAGTTTATTTTCTTGGGTAAGTGATACCCATCTCCTAGGTGGTTAAATAACTTTCTCACCTAGGGGGAAAATTGCCAACACTTGAATGAGACAAAACTACCCCTTGTAATAATGAATTTTTATGGCTAAAATGATCATTGTCTTATTTACATGAGAAATAAAAGAACATGGATAAATGTTTCCTAAGAAAAACTTACCCAAATAACTGCATTTACCTAAATAAGTAACTTACCGAAAAGTGAACAGAGACTTGGTGAAAAGTTTAAATAGGTTGAAAACTATATATAAGAAGTATTTTAGTAAAACGAAAGATTAGATTTAAGTAAATCTATAAAATTATAGGTGGCAATCTATTAAATGACCCTATATTAAACTAAGATAGAGTAATAAATTATAATAATTAAACATATTTTTAAAACAAATTAAATTAATAAAATTTCATTTATTGACAAAATTGGTGATGTTGTGAAAAAATGTTAGAAATTCCTGAATTTAGAATATAAAATTTATCTTTAGATAAAATTGTCCTTTTTTTCTTATCAAAAGATTTCTGGGTTATGCTCACCATCGTCAGCGAGTATCGATGATATTTTAGAAGAGAGCTTGTTTCGACAAAATATTAGCAAGCTTCCTTCATCATGCACATGAATATAAATTCTAAGGCCATCTGCAAGTTAACAAACATCTTAAAAAATTTAAAAAAATGAAATAATATCATCACGTCTACTCTTGGCGAGTTGGCGGTCACAAACGAAGACTCTTCTGTGTTTATGAATATTCTGTAATTAAAAGAGAATGTGGAAGAACCTCCATCTTTTAACCCTGACACTGCTTATAGAGAGAACAATGGACCAACTCATCCGAACCTAGACCTTAGATAGAAGGAAGCTAGGTCTATTTTTAGATCCCACATTCACCACCACGAGGGCTCCACACGGTTCCCAGCCTTGACTTTGGTGAGCCAAATGGGTATCTGAAGGGGAGTGGTCACGGAGGGGTAGGGATCTACTATCAATAAAATGTTCCCAACACTATCCCAACAGACCACTGCTGCTGCACATAGGGAGCATCTCCCTTATCATTTATGGGGAGATACTATTGACGTGCGGCTATGTAATGGATTGTTGGGACAATGTTGAGAGTGTGAATTTGTAGCATATCTGAATTCGTCGCAGAGATCATCCATGACCCCAATCATCAAAAGCATGGTATTAAAAATCGGTTTGGACCAGATGGTCGGACTGATTGATCCGGGAATTTGTCATGCAACTGGTTTCATTTCATCAAAATCGTTTCTGTGCCAAAAACCATTGATTTGATCAATGACGTCAACCCATGCAATGATTTTGATCCTTTTTTATTTAATTATTTTTTAAAATCAGAACGGGCAATTCATTCAAATCGGATAATCAGACTGTTTGAATGAGAACCGATAACCAAAACAGTTCTGTATCCGGTCCGGTTTTAAAAACCTTGAACAAAAAGATCTCAAGTCTGGATCACCTGCCAACAAATATATACATTCCAACAACCTATCAACATGATCTAACACCACACATTTTATACATGATGGGCCCCAGTCTCGTGGTGAGATGTGGGATGCTAGATCAAATTGGTAGGGGTTGGAACGTGTTTTGTTAGCAGGAGATCCCAACTCAAGGATCTCTTCATAGCTCCCATTGAGATTAGAGAGACATGGAAGGAAGGGGCAATTTTGTCAATTAATTAAACTCTATTAATCTCTTTCGTAAAAACTAAAAAGGACTATTAATTTAAGTAAGCTGAAATTGAGGCTCATCAGACAATGAGCAGTGAGCAGTGGCACAGGCACATGCGAGCCGAGCCAGGGTTAGTTAATTTAGAGCCATAAATGGCTCGGCATCCAACGGATGGGCCTCCATAAAAACAAAATAAATAATGAAGTGTAAACAGTGGTGCAGATCCGTTTGGGGAAATAAAATAAACAAAACCAAATAAAATAAACAAGAAATGAAATAATGAATGACGAAAAGGAAGTTACCAGGGATGGGCCGGGTCCTCTATTATTACATGACCAAACCAGGCGCAACTGAGGAACACCAGGGCCCACCTTAATTAACTCATTAAACCCCTTTGCCGTTTTCCGTCGGAAGAAAGCTACGACCAGTTCGAAACGGACACCATATACCACCACTAATACCCATATACACGCCCCTCCCCCTCTTTATTTTTCTAATATTATTTCGTACTTCACCCACCTATATTTATATTTATAAGCTTCTATACATATTTTCTATTATATTATTATTTTTTATTTTTTATTTCTAATTGCAGCGACAAGGAGAGGATATTTTTATTCAATTCTAAATGTTAATCATGTTCACAGACACGTTGTTGTACTGTTGCCTGAGGTTCAAAACATCGATACATCCGTTACATCGGATGGGGGGTATATTAGATATTTCGATCACATTCTTTAAAATGGGTTAAAATCCCAAAAACCCATATTTAATACATTGATGATCTACCGGTATGATACATATTAATGAATACGGGCCGATATATTGCAAAATTATATAATTAGAGGGGAGTGAAAAATAAAAAAGAAGTGAAGAAAATGAAGAAAAAAAAAAAAAAAGGAGGTCGAGATGTTTATCCTTTGAGACATAGAATCGGGGAGTTGATGGTGTAAATGAGAGAGAAGAGTATGAGTAGAGACATGGAATCGAGAGCCACGTTGCGGCGATCCCGTCATGGGTGGATGCCTGGCAGTTGGGGTTTGTGGGATCCGCGATAATCGCCCAGCACGTTCCACCCCTCTCACAAGCGGGCCCCACTCTACAGCTGTTACAATGTGTTCTTGTCTGCTGGGACCTTTTTTTTTTCAATTATTTTCTCTTTTCTTACTCGCTTTCATTTTCCGGCAATAAATGGAACCTCAATTTACTCCTCTCCTCTCTCCTGCTACGGTGCTACCCTCTTTTTTTTTTTTTTTTTTCTTTTTTATTTTGTTTTTTCACTCTCATGGTACCATCCCTTTGTATCATAAATATTTAGCCTCATTTAAATACTCTTTTCACGTATAAAAGTAATTTCGGAATTTGAAGTAGTACTTTTATTTATTTAATTATTAATAGTGTGGTTGGGTTAAGGTAACTAGGGTTAAAGATTAAAATCGAAGATATTCTGATTCGAGGAGTCTTGCTTGATAGTTGATAGTGAGTGGGTGGAGAGAGAGAGAGAGAGAGAGGGGAGAGAGATAGAGAGTTGTGTAATGTGTATGCCGCTCCTCCTTGCATTTTAACTATTATTAGCTGCAAAGTAAGCCGGTGACAACGCAACATCTCCTTTGTTTTATCATATTTCCACATTCTTTTTTAACTTTCTCTCTCTCTCCTCCTCATCATCAACAACATCATCATCGTCATCAACCACAACTTAATTCATTTTCAGCTATTCCGATCTGTATTCGTATCTCTTTCTCTCCCTCTCACTGTTCTTCTTCGTTGGTTTTAAATTAACGAAACGAAAATAAAAATCGGAAATTTATTCAGCTAGTAGCACTCAAACCCGTAGAATTTCTCTTTCCTTCTTGCTTCGTCTTTCCAGTTGTCCTTCTTTTTTACCCCCATCTTGTATTGATTTCCCTTTCAGATTCCCCACCCACATAATCCGCCCCCCCACCCCGTCTTCTTCTTCTTCTTCTTCTTCTTCTTCTTCTTCTTCTTCTTCTTCTTCATCTCCTCTTTTGATTCTTCTCGCTCTCTCTCTCTCACAGAAACTCCACCATCCCTTCCCTCTTTCCCTCTCTAGCCCTTTTTCTGAAAGGGTAAGGGAGAGATGAAGGAAGGAAACGACGATATAATTATTATTGGAACTGAAAGGGTATTATAATTTCCTGGAGAGAATAGTCCTATAGTGCCAGTACTTCTACTTGTAGTAACAAAGAAAAAGGAGGAATTGAAAGAGATAGAAGGAGGGGTTACGCACAAGTATGCAGCAAGGAGGGACCCAATATGGGATGTCACCGGAGATGACGGCTTTCACTGGAACTGGAACTCGGAGCCACATGGTCGGTGGAGTTTCTAGTGGTTCAGATCACTTACAGCAGCAGCAGCAGCAGCAGCAACAACAACTACTGCAGCAGCAGAAGAAATCTGGGGATGCAGCAATTGTGGTAGCTGAAGCAGCATCGCCGATCAGTAGTCGACCACCTTCAGTTACCCGTTCATCAGGGAATTTCGAGGAATTGGTTCCAGTTTCCGGAGGATTCCCAGATGACGACGCGCTTGCTGGGGAGGAAGCGGAGAGGGGAGTGGCCGGAGGGAACAGGTGGCCACGTCAAGAGACTTTGGCATTACTGAAAATTAGGTCGGAGATGGATTCTGCCTTCCGTGATGCCACCCTCAAGGGTCCTCTTTGGGAAGACGTCTCCAGGTAAACAAATTCCGAAATTCCCCAAAACCGCATCAAAACCATGTCCGTCATGGCGTTTAACTGAAATGGCCATTTGGGTTTACTTGGCTTTGGACTCATATCACACAGTATTCTGCAAATGCGGAATATGGATGGAAGCAGTTAATTCCACCAAGCACACTACTCTTCTGCTTTCTTTTTCTTTATCTTTTTCGGGTGTTCCCGAAATTCAGAGATCTTTGTGCTTTACGGCAGTGAGAGCTTTAACGGAATCCTAGACAACCGAATTCGTCGAAGTTCGGAATCTTGGGTTTCAGCTCCAACCATTATAAAAACACAAAGAAATAACCTCTCCTTCCTTAACGATCTCTGCCCTTCGTACCACGGATATTTTTCAGACACCGCAGCAGCTGTAGCCTGTAGTTAATATAAACCCAGTAGTGATTTTCATTTGTAGCAGTTGTTGTGGCTTGAGTGCACTGTATTCTTCCTCTCTACCTTTCAGATCTCTCGGCTTCTCTTTCTCTGTCACGACTCACGAGTGCGGCATCTTTCTCTCTCTGAACTCGAAACAGTTGGGGCCAGATCCACTGCATCAATTCGGCCCAATCCCCAGTTACTTAGAGGGAAAGCGTTTAATTATTTAATTAATTTATTTACTTTACAGAAAAACTTAAGAATGTAAAACCTTTTTAGGGTTCCTTTACCACATATCAAAACTTAAAAAAAAAAACTGTAATCATCACAGCTAAACTTTGGCCATTAGAATAGATGGTGGATGTTGAAATTGGGTGGTGGGCTGGGAGCTGGGACTACTACCCTCCACGAAAAGATAACACATACTTATTTTCAGACTCGCCCACATCACCTCCAACTGTTTTTGTTCTAGTTTTTCATATTCTGTTCTGAGTTAATTTGGTCGTCCAGGAAGCTAGCTGAGCTGGGTTATGTGAGGAGTGCCAAGAAATGCAAGGAGAAGTTCGAAAACGTCCACAAATACTACAAGCGAACCAAGGAAGGGCGAGCTGGGCGTCAAGACGGCAAGAGCTATAGGTTTTTCAGCCAGCTTGAGGCTCTTCATACCAACAGCAGCGGCAGCAACAATATCGCCACATCCGTCATGCCTGCCGCCACCACCACCGCGACCACCAATCCTAGTTCAACGGCGGCTCCTGCTCCAATCACAATGGGAGGCAGAAATCCAATGGTGGGCTCCACTGGAAGAGTTCAAGCACCACAGGTTTCAGCCAGCCCAGCCACAGACACTACTCAGATCGGAGTGCCCCGAGTAAGCCCTTCGGATTTGGGTGCTGCTGCGACGGCCAGTGCTGCCGCTACCACAACAGGGATCAGCTTCTCTTCTAACACATCGTCTTCCTCTTCAGACTCCGAGGATGACTTGGAGGCTGGAGGACCCTCCAATACGGATAGCCGAAAGAGGAAGCGGGGATCAAGGGGTGGCAGCAGTAGAATGATGTCCTTCTTCGAAGGGCTGATGAAACAGGTGATGGAGAGACAGGAGGCCATGCAGCAAAGGTTCCTGGAGACCATAGAGAAGAGGGAGCAAGACAGAATAATAAGGGAAGAGGCTTGGAGGCGACAGGAGATGGCGAGGCTGACCCGGGAACACGAGATCATGGCTCAGGAACGCGCCATCTCCTCCTCAAGGGATGCAGCCATCATCTCTTTCTTACAGAAGATCACTGGCCAAACCATCCAATTTCCCCCGCCCATATCGATACCTGCCGCCCCACCACCCCAGCCGATCATAACACATCCACCGCCGTCCCAACATCAACATCAGCAGCAGCAGCAGCAGCCACAGCCTCAGCCTCAGCCTCAGCAACAGCAACAACCACCGCAACCTCACCATCAGCATCACCAATCTCAAAGCGCCGAAATCGTCCGCCATCAACCGGCTTCATCGGAGGTGATTATAGCTATCCCGGAGCAGCAAGTGCCTCAGGAGATGAGTAGCGGTGGTAGGGGCGGGAGTTTCGATCCAACCTCTTCTAGGTGGCCGAAAGCCGAAGTTCATGCACTAATCAAGATGAGGAGTGGGCTTGAATCGAGGTACCAAGAAGCTGGACCAAAGGGTCCATTGTGGGAAGAGATCTCTGCAGGGATGCAGCGGATGGGTTACAACAGAAGCGCCAAGAGATGCAAGGAGAAATGGGAGAATATCAACAAGTACTTCAAGAAGGTGAAGGAGAGCAACAAGAAACGCCCTGAAGATGCCAAGACCTGCCCTTATTTCCACCAACTTGATGCCCTCTACAGGAAGAAAATACTTGGCAGCAGTAGTGGCAGTACCAGCTTTGGGAACCAGAACAGGCAAGAAGAACAACCACAGCAGCTGGAGACAATGGACCCGAGTCCAACAACCACTAATTTGCCAGAAAGGGGTAATGCCTTGACGATCATGTCACTGCCACCATCAAACCAAACCTCTGAAACAGAAGACAATAAGAACAACAACAACAATAATAATAACGGTGGATCTACTACAGAGGTGCAGACAAGTAATGGAGGTCTGCCGCCGGGAACCGCAATGAAGAAGGTAATGATTGATCTCATCTCATCTTTTGTATCAATAACTAAAAACAAGTATTCCCTTTTTTAGTCCCTCACTATTCGATTCATCAGTTATATTTAAAGGTCAGATATGGGACTGATTCTTGCTTTTGTATTGAAGCCAGAAGACCTTGTGAAGGAGCTGATGGAGCAGCAGCAGAAGCAACAAGAACAGTCTGTAATGGATGATTATGATAAACTAGAGGAACCAGACAGCGATAATCTAGATCAAGAGGACGACGACGATGACGACGACGACGACGATGAAGATGAAGAAGCAGAAGAAGAGAGGAAGATGGCCTACAAAATACAGTTCCAGAACGGGGGCTCCGCGAATGGAGGGAATGCAGCAAGCACCTTCATGGCCATGGTTCAATAGTTTCTCTTTCCTTCTGTATTGTCGGTTATGGGTTTCGTTCGCCCTAGCTTAGCTCCTTCTTCGGTCCCTCATCATCATCATCTTCAGTCCAGACATTTGTACCATATGTACCAATCTCAATATTGATTGACGCCCAAGCTCAATAGCCTTAAGTTCGTCTTCACTTCATCTTTTTTTTTTTTTTTTTTTTTCCCTACTTTCTCTAGAATAGAGGTCTTAGGTAGGTAAGTCTCGTGATAAGATGGAGAATCCTGGAAGTTGATTGCTTCAATCCCTTTTGCCATTTTTATTGATTTGTTGTGAATAAGGGTCCACTTCAAAATGGGACGCAATTGAAAGAATGAGAGGAAGAGAGGAAAATAAGCCTGCTCAGAAGCAGCAGCAGCAGCAGCAGGAGAAGTAGCAGCAGAAGAGGAAGAACAAAGAAGCATAGATAGTTTTCTTCTTGTGGGAAAGGTACCTGCGGAAAGGATTGGAACATCGGAGGCAAAAGAAGCAGCAGCAGCAGAATTCTTCAGAATCTTTGCTTGGTTTGGATGAAGGAAGTTTTATTTTTATTTTTTTTTCTTTTTTAATTTTAATTGTTGGTCTTTAAATTTATTATTTATCATTTGTTCAAAAGTCTTTTTTTTTCCTTGTTTAATTTTGTTATTATCATGTAACTTCTCTTATTTGTTATTATTGTTGACATGTTAAATGTTGTCATGGTCGTTTACCTTGTTTCTGTGAATTGGGCTTAGACTTGAGACTTGTGTCAGTTGAAAGAAAAAAAAGAAGAGAAGAGGGAAAGAAAGAAGAAATGGTAGTGGGGACAAAGGGGGGGTGCTGCTGGGTGGAGCAGAATTTCATTTTTTCCTTTCTGAAGCTTTTGACGGGTTCATACTTGTGGTTTATTTTGTTTGGTGACGTCTCTCTGTCTCTTTACTGTACTCTCCCTTTCCCCTGGACCCTGCTCTCTCATCATGCTGGGGAATCTTTCTTATATTTGTTCTTCTCTCTCTCTCTCCTATATACACACGCATGTACATATTTGTTGAGTTTTAATAGGTAATAAATAAATAATTCATAAAAAAAACAGTTTTTATGTTTTTTTTTATCCGTAAAAAAGTAAAAACAAACAATTTATTGCATGTTCTTAAGTCTTAACTGCATTTTGATTATTTTTATTTATAAAAAAACTGCATTTTATTGGTTGAAACCTTCAGTGTTCACTGCATTTTCTTTTTTGTTTATCTTATTTCCTTGTACCAAAGGTGAATAATATATTGGGGCAATAGGACATTGGGATCAGTACACTAATCTATATAAAAAAAAGAAAAAAATAAATAAAAAAGATTATAGAAAAATGCACGAGAGATGCCGCTTCAGCGAATAATGGCATTTCAGAACCATGTTTTAAATTTTAGGACAACGGCCATTAAAAGGAGTGGCTCGGGCAGAGATAGGATTTCTTTTCTTTTCTTTTCTATTCTTTTTTTTTTTTTTAATTTTTGGAGGGTGCATAATAAATTAAATTCCATGGCGCACCTAATGTTTTCTCCCTCTCTTTAATGTTAAAAATGATATATATATATGAGTGGATTAAAGTTGAGATTTTGTCTGAATGGCCAAGTCCGAGTGTGAAGCAATGTAAAATGTTAATTCCGGGCAACTCGAATTGCACCCGTATCCAAGAAATGTGAAGGGGCATTCTTATGCAACTCCGGATCCACTATAAACCTTAGGCTTTATTTAGAAAAAGTACAAATACAAATAGATAGAAAATAATACAAAATACAAGATTTTGCACTCTACATATTTAATTTGTACTCTTTCCAAACTAAACCTTAATGAAAATTTCCCGTCAGATTTTTCTCCATAAAAAAGTTGGGTTGAGTCCTAGAATGGGCCGCAAACATGAATTTAAGACACAACTCAATGATCATGAGTTTGCATCTGTTTATTTCAAATCATCCCCACATTACAAGAGCACAATGAAAAAGAATAAATGTACAATCATTTTTAGATAAATTTGGTAACCATAGAATGTTTTTCAGGTGGCTGTGAGTTGAATCCCTTGAATTGCTTTTATCATATTTGAGATCAATAATATTAGAAGAGAGCCAAATTTGGAAAGTATGGTCACGGTAGAAGAGCGTATGCTCAACCATTTCATCAGCCAAACCGGATTTCCTGCCCACAATCTATCTGCCCTGAATTTCAACCACACATTGCAATCTTGTATTGTGAGATGTGCAACTGCAATGTACTGTAGGTAGGGTGCAGGTAAAGAAAATGAGAAGGAAATCGATCAGCTATTTTGCAAATGAAAATGCCAGTTCTTCTTTGTTAAACTTGTCTGCATAGCAATAGTTCTATGGCAAACTCTCCAATGGAACTGCTTAACTTTTGGGGAGAGTTAGTTTTTCAGAATTTGCTCTACTATCCATATATGCACTATTATAAGGCTAGTTTTGAGCAAGTGTAGTCTTGGCAAGATGGTATACTAACTTTACTGTAAAAGAACCTAATTTGTCATAAATCTAGCAAACCTTGTCTTCCCCTGTAGGTTTTGTGAATATGAGAGGAGATAACTGTTGAGAGTGTAGGGGCTGATCTTGTGTTTGAGATGTATTTATCATTATTATTGGGCTAAGAGTATTGTTGTATTATACTTTTGTATACATTAATGTATCATTACTTGCACAACTCGTTATTTGTCTTTGTAAGAGAGGGACATAAGTGTTCTTTGTCATTCTTTCATTCACATAATATAGATATCTTTCTGTGAGTGTAGCCAGACTTTAGAGACACCCCACAATTTTGTTTCTCTCTATTGTTCAAATTTTTCTTGATTGCACCCAGATTATTAGGTACATCTGGGTTACTCCATCACCTTCCCCCCACAGTTTCATCTTCCAGCATATGTTAATGTTGATTGGGCAGGATGCTTAGATACTAAACAGTTTAATGCTAGATGGCATATATGTGTTGTTTCGTAGTAATTTACGTTTTTCTTAAAAATGAAAAAAAAATGGCAGATTGTATTCAAATCATCTAGTGAAGCAGAGTGTCGTGCTATGTCTTCTATTTATAGCGATAGTTTTACGCTTTTTACAGGACATATCTTCCCCAATACCTCTATCTGTAGATTACATGAACACAATAAAAATTGCCTCGAATCTAGTATTTCATGAGTGTATCAAACATAGAGAGGTGGATTATCATTTCATGCATTAGAGAACAATTCTTTGCTAGTCGCATCTCTTCCTTATATTGCTTTTGGGCTTCAGCCGGTACTTCCCCAAAACCATGACATGGATTCGATACAATTTTCTAGTTGACAAACTGATGCTTATACCTTAACATCAATTTTAGAGGGAGTGTAAAGAATTTAATGGCTGATCTTGTATTTGAGTTCAATGACATGGGCAGCCCTTGTTGTAGCGCCAGGGAACAAAGTTAACCGAACTGTGAGGGAGATGACTAAAAATGTATCTGCAATGACCATAAGAATTTGCCAAGTTGGACTGAAGTCTTCCTCCAACAGAGCTTTAATTACAATTTGTTCGTCTCCCTCAATCTGATCATGGTGGAGATGAAGAGAATGAATAAGTTTGAGAGATTCCATAAGAGCAAGGGTCTCACTTTCAACTTCTGAACAGCAATTTAATTTTATTGTTCCATCCAAATACACATAAAACTGAATCGAAATGTAGTTTTACGACGATAATAATTATACCCTCTTTTCAAATGCATACAAAACTGAACCGATATAAAATTTACATCACATCCAAATGCAGCCTTAAAGTTAAACCTTAACCAATCAGTAGGAGGCTTACCCCAATTCTCACAACTTAAAGAGAATGCCCTCTTCTAAACCTTTGACTTGGGCTGAAATATCATAAATGATTCTTCTAGGGTCAAGAACACCATTGTCCAAAACCACTCTGCAGCGTGCCTTCCAAATGGACCATAGCGTTATATGGTACATTCGTGTGGATACCATTTACTAAATGCTCAAGCATTCATGTGGATTTACTAAAGCACGCTCTCTAATTTACAACCAATTTATTTAATCGACCTTTTTTTAGACGGAAATGGAAAGTGACAGTTTTGACCCTAATGATGGAAATGTTGTTCTTGCCCCTAATAAAATGTGAGCATCCAACCTATTTGATCAATTTTATTATTTCTTTGAAGAATGAAGATATATTAATGTTGTTGACAAAGAGTTTAGATGCTATTGTTCTCTGACTTCTCTCTTCATACTAAAATGAAACATTATTTCTTTTCAAAAGACTAATATAAAGTATTAATGGTACCTTTGGAATAAAAATCACAGGCCAATGCCCTTAAAACATTTTTCACTCGCTTTAGGTGGTCATGTGACCAAATTTCCAGGTGACATTACAAAGAGTTCTTAACATAACTGTAGGGAGTCTTTTAGTAAACAAACCTATAAATATCTTTCTTTGGGCGTGGTTGGACTTTAGACACACCCAACAAAACTGTTCTCTCTATTGTTTCAAACTTTTTCTGACTGCTCCTGATCAAGGTTCAAAATATTGATATGTATCGATCTGTATCGGTTGATACATATCGTATTGGGGGCTTCTCGATATATTCCTATAAAAAGTGTTTCGGGGTTTCAACTGGTTCAGAGGGTGGACGGGCCTTAAATCGGCCTCTCTGAACCAGATTAAAAAAAATTAAAATAATTAAAAAAAGCTATCGATACTGCTCGATACGCTGATAGTGGCATATCGATATTTTGAACTTCGCTCCTAACAATAACCACAAGGATGAGGTTGTTAAGGCAATCTTGATTTAAAGACCTATCTTATTAGTTAATGAGGTTGTAGACCTTGTGGAAATTGGTTGTCTTCGGCTGATGACTCTGAATTTTAAGGTCTTTGAGGTTAGGGATCCATGGATCGCCCCAAGTTTTAATGTTTTTGCTAGAAGATACCAATAGAGACCCTTACTAAGTGGGAGGAGTTAATAAGGAAATCCCCTAGAGGGAAAATATTTGGCTTTGAGGACTTGGATTCAAGTAGTTGAAGGGTTCACAAGAATATGCCAAACTTGTTTTGCTAGGAGAGCTTTGTTGAAGCACCCCGTGTCTCTAAAACCGAAACCCCCAATATGCTCCATTGGACCAATGAATTCATAGACCCCCTTCCAAGTGAGTTTTATGACATGGTTTCAAAAACCAATCTGGAACTAGAACCGTTTTGGTCATCAGTTTTTGGGTGGACGGTTAGACTGTCCAGTTTGAATGGACAATCTGTTCCAACTTAAAAAATAAAAAAAAATAATTAAAATAAAACAGTCAAAAACCGTTAAATGATTCGAACAAGTTGACGGTTCGACTGCCCAGGTAAGTGGGTTGCTGACTAAATCAACAGTTTTTGGCCAAGGATCGGTTTAGAGCGAAACAGGAACCAGTTGCCTTGATGGTTTCCAGGCTGAATGGTCCGACCATCCAGGTAAATGGCGGTTCGATATTTTATGAGACTATAGTCAAAAACATCTATTTTCTAGGGAGGCCTAAATAAATACCAACCTTTTCCACCCTCTTCACCATCATAGGCTTGTGAAATAAAATTTTGAAATTTAGAGGGGTGCTTTTTCTGAAAACAACTTCAAGTTTGTGATAATTGACCTTTTGTCTTGGGGTATTTCTAGCTCATAGCTAGAGCCAAGGGCCCGGAGGATGGCCATCATGGTCTCACTCTGCTTAACCAAGGTGGCTGCTCGGGGTTTGGTCATACCACTTGGGTATGGTGTCTTCATTCAAGATCTTTCGTTTTCTTAGAAATCAAATCAGCCTTAGTGTTAGCAAAATTAATTGTGCCGATCTTATTAAAGCTTTGAAGATC